ATATATATAGGAATGGATTTTAGATATGTTCTTATAGATTCCATTCACACATACCAAGGAGAAAAAATATAGCGTTATTTTATGACAAGAAAATATTAGGAGATTCAGGTGACGCCAAAATAATCCTACTTGAATAACATGAGCTAACGATGTTCCTACGTCAGACATCCCGTTGTCGCCTCGTCGTCGTCGTCGTCGTCGTCGTCGTCGTCGTCGTATGGAATAAGAAAAATTGCGGAGAGTAAACTCTCTGTCGTAAGATTTTCGTTATCCCAGAAAAAGTAAAGTCGTGGCCTGTGAGCTGGCTGCTCTGGCACTCTCGATAATTAAAGTTCCGTATTAGTGCCGTTCGAGGGACTACAAGCTGAAGGGTAAAAAAGAAGGGGTTGCACGATGAAAAGGAGTAGATAAAAAGACGACGACTGTCTTCCTTCTACGTCGAATCTTTCTAATCTTCTAACTTTGCTTTTTCTATTTAACAATATCATTTCTATTTATTATATCGGTATTTATATTATTTTCATTAACCATTTGTTTTCTCTTGAGGAAGAAGACACATTGTCGATAAAGAGGATTTTCATGAAGGAACAATAGCGCTTCGGAGGTAGAAACAGTGCCAGCTGTTGCATTCTAATGCCTCTTTCGAAACTTAACTCGGTGAATTGCGTTATTCAAATTCGTAGCCGCTCCTTTCGCAAGTTCAATTTCCCCGTACATTGGCACGGATAGGCATCGGGATATTCGATCGATCTCTCTCTCTCTCTTTCTCTTTATCTTTCTCTTTCTCTAATTTCTCTCTCTCTCTCTTTCTCTTTCTCTTTCTCTATTTCTCTCACGTCGCAAGAAGGTTTCTCTATTAAAGGAAGAGAATCGATCGAAGAAGATTGCTTCAAGCTCGAGAAGAGAGAAGCGACATTGGAACTCCTTTGAAATGCGGCTTAATTATTCTCTTCGCGACAGTGCTTCGAATGTTTCAAGTCCATCTTACGGAGGAGGAGGAAGAGGAAGACGAGGAGGAGGACAAGGAGGACGAGTGCCGCGTTTATCTGCACAATTTTATTCCACGGCTTTGTCGAATTGTTAAAATAACTTTGAAAAGTAACAAAAAATAAAAAGAAAGTAGAGAAAGAATACAAATGTAGAGGTAAAATCATTCTTGTTCCTATTATTAACTTACTACCCCATAACTTTCTTTTTCCTGATTATTTTATAAACGCGTTCTACTGTAATGATCCAACCGTTAAGAACCATAAAGAGAATTTGATATCACATATAACGGTGTTACGTACGAACAAACGTTGCTTCCACTTTCTTCATTTTTTGTTTCTTCTTTTTTATTATAGTTCTGTTAAGTCGAACGTCGAAACGGTGAGAAAAAGAAGGAAAAGTAAAAGACAAAAAAAAGTAGGAAAATATTGCGGCAGCCCGTGGTCTGAAACTCTCGTGAGATTTAACGAAACACAGATCCTAGATGAGTGGAAAAGAAAGTATAGTTAAAAATTTACCGAAAAGTAGGACTTTGGTTGTACTACTGACGACAACGAGCGAGCAGTTGTGCGCACGATGCAACGAACTAATATAGAATACGAAGAAATGTAAAGGCAAGCGATGTGTTTACATGAACGTAGAGTCCGAACGTTTCATTTTCTCGGAATTAAGTAACCACCACAGGTCGTTACGAACATACGCGGCCAGCTATTAACGGTTTAATTAGCGTAAGTTTTCATTTGGAGTATTACACTGGCGATCCTCGCTCCACCGGTGCTGCTAGCGGTGGGTGAAAAAAGGGATGACCAAAGGAGAAAGAAAAAAAGATGAAAAGAAAAATGTGGGGAGGGGCTCGAGGTCAAGGGGTTGAAAGAAGTTCGCCATCGTTTTTCACTTTGTATGCCGGTTATTATTGCATTTTTGCAGATTGTATTACTCGTTCTTTATAATAGTTTGCCATTTGCTTAGTGAAACTGGGGATGTTCGGTGTCGTCGTTATGGTAAAACGCGTTTAAAAACTTTTTTAAGAAATGCTTACTTCAAGGGTTCATTCGAAATATCGTTTTTAGGAGAGAGAGAGAGAGAGAGAGCGCAAAAGTAAAAAAGAACTACAGAAATAAACGTTTGAAATGTGTTCGTACACGTATTCGCATATTTTCATAAATGTATAAGATTTTGTTCTCTTTTTCTTTTACTCTCCTAGAAACGTTAAGTCTGTTATCCAAGCGTGATAATAGCGGCTTTCGCGACACCTTGTGTATCTTCGTTACTGAATAGAAATTCAAAGTAGCATACTTTTACGTTACCGACGACGGTAATGTGAGAGTAAAATTGTGCTCCGCTTTACGCCGTCCGTGACGCTTTATTTATCTCGCTGTAGAATTTATCGTGCGTGAGAGCTCCTAACTCAACTAAATTTTCTTTCTCTTTTTATCTCTCCTTCTCTTTCTTTCTCTATTTCCATCTCACAGTTGCTTTTTATCATAATAATTAATTAATTATTCGCATTCTTCATGAGAACGTGCTTTTCTGTTCTTCCTCTCGTTTGTACGATAGCCACGTACAACGTCTTCCCGCAAGGTTGTCACGTTTCGTAAGGTAGACGTGTCCGTGACACCAAACTCCGAATGGATTGGTCCAGTGAATGTCATCCGTTGGGATAGGAGAGTAAAAGAAAGGGAGTGAACGGAACCTAAAGTTGCAAGGTTTGCTTCTGAACCATGCTTCGCATCTTTTCCACCTTTCTCTTTTTTACTCGGTTTTGCTCTTCTCTTTTCTTCGACTATATATATATATATATATATATATACATTTCGGTACAAATCGTATTACCAATTTCAACTGCAAAATTGACTCTAGCCAACTTTTACGGCGTCTCTCCGACTTTACGCTCCTTCGATGCCACCCGTACGTTCAGAACTTTAGCTTGTAGGATGGTTTACTAAACTCAGTTTAAGAAGAAAAAGAAAAAGAAGAAGAGAAAGAGCGAAGTAGCGAAGAAAAACTATTTCCATCGAAGAGTGAGACATCTTGGAAGCCTCTCTTGTCTTTCGTCGATATCAGATAACCAACTATAAACTATAGAAAATATTAACCGCTAGGAACAACAAACACAGTAGATTGGATTAGTTAGTTTCTTTTTATTTCAATCTTTTTAACATACTTAAGTTTTTGAAAACGTGGAAAGGGAACAAATATTTTTCGTTAAAAGTAAACTTTATTACAAAAGTCACATTCCATTGTGTTTCCCCCTCAGTTCTTGACTCTCGTTACACGTTCAGATAATAATCAAGTTCTTTTAAAACGCTCGTTATTTTATTTTACTCTACGGTCTCCCTCTTGTCATCTCGACTGGTTATTATCGTTGGCCTAATTGACCCGGATATTTTTCTTCGAGCATTAAATCTTAGTAAGCGTAATGACCACAGCGGGTACTTTCTATTTCCTCATTAATTCATTTCCAAGGAGGAAGTCCGAGTGGATTGCACGTGTTCGGCCGTTCGGAAGATATGATGTTCCGCAAGAGAGATCGATTATCGAGTTTAACGAATTCAAACTTCGATTGTTACATTCTTCCAGTTAAAGTATTTCCCTTGTTATTTCGAAGTAATGTCTGATTCAAGCTCACAGAAAAAGAAACATTCAGAGAGAGAGAAGCATCCCTTAAAATGATAGCCAAAAGCATCCAATCCGGACTAACGCAATACCTTTCAGATCCACGCATTAAAATTGAAATTAGCCAGCCATTTGTCTTCTAGTTTGGCTTAAACGTGACTGGCCAAGTGATTTATGGTTTCCACTTCTCTTCGGCAAATGTAGTTTTGCTTCTCTTTCGCTCTCTCTGTTTCTCTCTTGGATAACAGGCAAAAGCGCGTAATGCAATTCAAACCTCGAGACCGGGCCGACAAAAAAATTCGACTCCGCTTGTAGCGATGAAAAGCGGAGTGGTACTACTCGTCCCACACACTTGTATACACAAACACGCTTATAGCCACATTGCGTGATCGCGTTATAACAGCTGTTGTTTAAAAAGAGTTTCGTTTAAACCGAGAAACTACTTATTAGTTTTTAAATACTAAGTTGCATTCTTTTGTTAGTACGATACAGCCTAAACGTATCATTGTTTTCCTATGATTAATTATTGCAACTTGTAAAATATGAAAATCTACCGAAGATTAGGAACGCCAAAAATGCAGCTTTGCTTTTGATGGCTAATTCGGATAAAGGAAATCACCGACTTTAACATTCTGCCGTATCTGTGCGAAAGATAACGTCAAAGGTTTATTATCATTCGGAGAATATGCATGTACAAAAAGAAAAGGAAGAAAAGATAAAAAATGCAGAAAAAATAAAAAGAAAAAATACCAACGTGAACACTTGCGTTCGTAATGTAACCTACTTTCCTTGGCACGTCCAAAAGCCATTGCTTTGACAGCAGGCTATGATCAAAGGAAAGTAATCTTACGGGAGCATCCTTGCTAATTTACGTGATAGCCTTCAGTCAAAGGTTATCACTGATACTCTCTCTGCTTATTTTATCTCTACCACGTTTATCTTTTTTCTTAACCTCGCACCTTTTACTTTTGACTTATTTTAATTTCATTAGAAATTATTGTACATTCGCATGAATCTTTCTTATCGAATATATGAACCGTAATTTTGAAATTAAATAAATGTACTCTTAAATTTGACTCTACACAAAAAAAAACTGTATAAATGCTCTCGTATCTGTTACATTTTTCTTCGAAATTCTACGATTAAAATACTTTACGCCAATGTTTTTTTTTTTTAATTTTATATTTGCATGCGTGCAAAGTTATTTCCTTGTTTATGAATAATGGTCTTTAAATAATACGATCCCATTAAAATGACTCATCGTTTGTATAATCTAATTATAAATATATGTGGTAATTAAAGTGAGGATGACGTCTGAACAGGTTGTGGTGGTGGTGGTGGTAGCGGTAGTGGGGCTCAATGCTGTTACCATTACTGGAGAAATGATCTACTGCTGAGAATATTTACTTACCACTGTGCGATGTAGTGTTGTTCCGATCGCACACGCAGTCGAGGTCAAGATTTTTATAAAGTTTGTTTTCCATTATCATTTGAAATAGAAACAAGCAATTAAAATTCTTTTTTTTTCCTTTTTTGTTAAAACAAAGTGAAAAAGCAATGGAAGTCTCATTAAGTTTAATTTTATTTTTCCTCGGGTTGTTCGGTCCTATCAGAAGTTTTAATTTGGAGGTTGCTTATCAATGGAAGTATCTGGATTGGACTCATCCAGCAGTTAGTTTGACAGGAAGAAATTTTACTCTTGGCAATCCATTTACACAAGACGTTGATATTGATAAACGTGGACGAGTTTTTGTCACAAGCCCGCAATGGTTAGACGGTACTCCGATTGTTCTTTCTGTGGTGAGCAACGTTAATGGGCCAGGTGGTCCATTGCTGATTCCTTATCCTAGCTGGGAATGGCACACGGTATCTTCCGGTTGTGACAGTCTTATATCCGTCTATAGATTGGCGGTAAATATCTACCAATATATAATGTCTGTAAATGTTGAATCAAAAAAGTTGAGCTAAATATTATAAGAGAAAATTATTTATTGTCTATACTTTTTTTTTCTTTTCTAAGATTATTATCTATAGATGTGTAGATTACATTTATCTCAACTTTTTATTCAAATTATTATTTAAAAATAATTACAAAATGTATGTTTTGTAACATTATTATAATCTACAGTATAAAATGTTCAGATAGACGAATGCGATCGATTATGGGTTGTGGATGTTGGAAGGATAGGAAAAGATGCAGTCTGTCCTACGAAGATCCTGATATTTGATTTAAATACAGATAAATTGATCCACAAATATATAGTGCCAGATGATCAGGTTCTGAATGGGAAGTCAGCTTTAGTTACACCAATCGTGGATGTTGGTTTAACGTGTATCGACGCTTACCTCTATGTTGCCGATGTTGATCAGAACGGCATTTTAATTTATGACCTCTATAAAAATCACTCCTGGCGACTTTCGAATACTGCTGGAAATGCTTTTGGTCCCGACGAAGAAGCCATGAAAATTACGATTGCTGGGGAATCGTTCGATCTGACCGACGGAACCCTTGGCATGTCACTCTCGCCAATCGGATTTTACAATCACAGGTGCGCTATTAAACATTCGTTACGGAACACTGACCCTCAAGGCTGCTCTTTTCGTGTTGATCCGTTCTTTAACTTCATCTTATTTCGCAATATCATTAGAACTGACATGATAAGAGAACCGGTTTTCGGTAGTTACAAAATATATTTATGGACAATATTACTTTGCCCTTTACTCGATCGCCAACGCACGATATTCATTTATGTCGAAATTGAGAGCCTGAATGTTTTCATCGAACGTTTCCTTTCCTTTTTTCTTGTTGCTAATAAAAAACTCGTAATACTTTCAGATATCTATATTTCAACTCGCTCGCTAGTTATTACCAGAAATTCATGGACACGGTTTCATTAAAGGAGAGCGAATTCCGTGATCCAGTTATATTTCGTTCGAATTATAAACGAGCGAGCCAAGCCGGTGTACAGGCAACCTCCCGGCGAGGTGTCATATTTTTTCAGCTCGTCCAATTAACCGCGATCGCTTGTTGGGACATTGAGAAACCATTCGCCCCGGAGAACGTCGTTATCATTTGTCAAGACGAGGAAATCTTACAATACGTCAGTGGTATTAAAGTGATCACGAACAACCACGGCGAAGAGGAACTTTGGTTCAATACCAACAGGCTTCAAAAAACGATTAACAAGACGTTGAAGCCAACGGAAATAAACTTTCGTTTAATCAGAGCCAAGGTAGACGATATCATCCGTGGAACGAGATGCGAACCTTTTCCCTTGAGACACAGTGCACCCGATACGACATTTTGGCGTCAAATATGATGTCGTACAAATAAATTCTTTTTACTGTAGTATCAAATTAACTTGAAATAAAACGTTGAGCATAATCTTAAGTTCATTAAATTAATCCGGAAATAACGTCCAATTGTTTTCGCACCGGTTGATTTTAAAATTGAGCATTTCCACAGATAGCAATTCTGCGGTTATAACTATTGACACTAACGAGCCACGTTTATGGTTGTTACATCAACCATAGAGTACACGAATGTAGCCAGTCACGGACGCGATTCTCTATTTCTTTCTCTCTCCTTCATTATAGTCTAAATCTGTTCTCTATTCGTTTACAAGAATATCGCGTGCAAAGTGCTTTCAAGCATTTTCCAAACGTTGAATATCATATCCAAAGCGGAAGAACATCTGACTATTCATGGGAGTGGGATAGAACTCATTGACAGAGGTAGCTTGTATCCAAGAGAAAGAGAAAGGGAGAGAGAGAGAGAGAGAGAGAGAGAAATGAGAAGGAATCCTGCGAGTGACAGGTTACATATAGTAATTTAGTTAACCGTTTCATTGCTGCCTTTTGAGATATAACGATAGAGTCTGTTGGTGACAGGGTCGTCGCTTAGAGAGTTAATGTTTCGAACGAGCAAGCTTTCTGACAGGACAGAGAATTTGGATAGCGGTTGAAGGGACGCTTTGGTAATATTGTTCAAGTTTTTGGACTACAGAAATATCCTAGTATCCTTCTTACCACCGATTTGTGCAAATTTTACCAAGCTTTAAGGTAGGACTTCTTCCTATTCCCTTCTACCACTATTTCCCATTCCATTAACTGAACAGAATCGAAGGGTGGAGGTATATATACTAGACAGTGGTCCGCTTAATGGCAAAAGATTTCATCGTTTGGGAGGTGGGACAAATGTGCATTCACAAAGAATTGTTCGCGTTACTCCCGTAGACTAGCAACCCTGGGGATACCAATAGGGCGCGCAATTTCGCGAAACTCATGTCACCTATTTCTCTTTCTATGGCCCGATTCGGCGTGTGACTAATGGCGGCATATTCATAGCGCAACCTCAACCTTTCTTCGTTCCACCTTCCTCATTCTCTTGCTCTCTCTCTTTTATTCTAGCACGTGCGGGCTTTCTCTCTCTTACAAAGGTCTAGCAGTTAACCTCAGACAATCCCTTCATCTCGATAATATACGACTACCCTTAAATTTTCCTTCCTCTTCAGCGACCACGAATTCTCTCTCTCTCGTTCTTACACGATCTCAAACGAACGGCAAAGTTCCTCATTTGCTTCCGGAACAAGTTGTCTTTCTACGATCGATTGTTTCAAGTATATCCCTTACTTAAGTTATAAGGTATACCTTAAGTTTACAAATTTTAATTAATTTTTCTTCTATTCTTCTGATCGTGTAAAGAACTAAAAATAAAATAAATAAAAATGAATATCGAAGATATAAGAAAAAACTATCGTATCTACTATTACTATTACTACTATACGTATTTCTACGACGTCGATAGAAAAGGTCGTTGCTTTAAAGGCGGAAAGTGAACGATTTATTTAAGACGTGATACGCCTTTCCGGCTTGAAGCCTCGAAGCGGTACTTCCCGTGGGAGCAAAGAAGAAAGAAAAAGACAGAAAAGTAACGTCGAAGTAAGCGAGAAGAGAAGAAGAAGAAGAAGAAGAACGGAGAGAGAAGGTCTCAAATCGTTTTACGAGGGTAGTTTTAAAACGATTTTACGAGAGCGGCGCAGAATTTCGAAATAAATTTGCATCAGTTTTACTGCTCCTAATATACATAACTACCGGTGTTTGGCACTGATACCCACGTGTACGAAGGCGAGCAGCCTAGTCAATGTCGACGAGGTCTATGCTAGTAGAGCCCAGTGGTGGGATTTTGTAATACGCCGCCGTCTTCTTCCGGAAAGAAAAGACGGCGCGAAGGCGCGCACGTGCGCTTGCGCACATTTCTCTTTTTATTGGTGCTACGATACGTTACTAGGTTGAGACCTTGCAGTGTTTCATTGTGCATTCAAGTGCTTTCAAATTTACATGTTAATCTTATCATCTAAAATTGAAAAGTATAATACATATAAACGATCAAATTTTCAATCGTAGGGTACACGCTGCATCCGTATTGTACAATAGATTATACATTTTATGGAATAATTGAATTTTTAACAGATTTTTATTTAATAATTAGAATAAAATTCTCATTTAATATTAGGAGTTAGTTATTTATAGGGGGCCCTTACTGATTGAATTGCACCTGGGGTCTCTCGAGTACTAAATCCGCCACTGAATACTCGTAAACGAGAGTTTCGTTCCTTACGTCTTTAATGAGATACTTGATCTATAATTCACTCTGCGGTCTATTTCGGTCGAAAGTGTAGGAGGATTGCGCACGCATAAACACACGCCGTCTGGTACAGGAAATGAGTGAGTGAGAGAGAGAGAGGGATTGATAGAGAGAGGGAGAACGAGAAGAGATCCGTACACGACGGCCGCGTATGGCACGCATTGCGGTTGTCAGTTCTAGTCAACGTGTAATTTACTATCCGAGCTCTCTGGCTCGATGCAGATGCAGGCAGGCACCGCCATTGGTCTCTGAGAGGTAGTGCAATGCGAAGAACCGACTGCCCTCTCGAAGCAACAACGCTTGCCTGCCAGCGAGTGGATGATGGTGTATTGCAAGAGAGCTACTACCCAACGCCCGGAATCCGTTAAACCACGAGCACGCTATAAACTAGCGAAACGCACTCAGTGCTCTGAGCCTGCCAGAAATTTAGAGATGTCGCACGCCATTGCACTCTGGAATCGTTCGTTATTCAGGAACTTTCACGATACACTTTTATTTCGACCATGAACGTGTTCCCCTTCTAATCCTTTTATTAGGATCTTTAGAAATAGAAATAGGAGGGGAAACATCTACTATTGATCGTGCAGACTCGAAACTTTAAACTTTGAATTCTTTGAGATATCTTAGTCATTAGACTTTTTCTTTTATTTACATGAACATTAGCGTCTAAAGTTTGAGAGTCACTGATCCATACTTACGCTTCTTACCGATTCACTCGTCCATCCAACCTATTGCTATCTCTTTCTCTCTATTTCCTCTTACTCAGCTGCTGGCTTGCTGGTGTGAGCATGACGTTACTCGAGTGAAATGTCGTTTACTCTGCGAACCGGTCCCTTACGTTCGTAACCGTTCGTTACCGTTAGTTCCGCTTGGAATGGCGCTTTCGCAACGCAAACACGTATGTGTAAGGCTCGCTACAGGAACCAACCAGCCAGCCAGTCAGCCTGCCAGCCAGCCAGCCAGCCAGCCAGCCAACCAACCAACCAACCAGCCAACCAGCCGGTAGGGTTTAGGATTGAGTACGCGTATTTCGTTTTCGTGAAGGTGTGGCGCTATTTCGACTTCTATCATTCGTTATCTTCGCCACGAGTTCACGAGCATGAAAATAAGACGCACTTACCTCGGTGTAGATTCTGTAATAGTTGTTCTTTTCTTTACATACGATTACTATCAAACGATTGTGACGTCTACAAACTCAAATAATATTCTAATACGATGTTAGCTGTTATCTAACTTTGTTCTTTCACGCTCTTTTAATTTGACATGTTCTATTTCAAAAGCGATAAATCAATGATCGCATTCTAACGCAATCCTGTTTTTCAATACCGAGAATAACATTGTATGAATCTTTCGAATTACTTGAACCCTCCGATACTTTTAACCACAAATTTTCACATTAAATGTCCAGTTGTTAACTTTAGTCGTAAAAAAAAATCAAGACTAAATATAATAATACTAATGTACATAGATATGATCCAACTTCCTTGGTCTCTCGATCTTCCGGCATTTTTCTCTGCATACAAAGTGAACTCAGCAACGCCTTTTCTGTCACTTTTTTTTCTTCTTCCTTCTTCCATTTTCTTCTTATGCATTTCCCTTTTCTTTCCCTCTTACTTTTTGCTCGTAATATTTCCGCCTATTCGTTTCTGTACATTTGCAAGGTCTCCTGGTATATACGCAAGCCCATTTCCCGCGTCCCTTGAAAGTAATACAGTTCTCTCTCTCTCTCTTACGTTTTCCCCTGCCGCGTACAGTTTATTTATTTCAGTATGAATACTGAGAGACGGACGGAAATAATGATTTTAATAATACCAGAGCCCTAGAATCGCAAAGAGAGAAAGAAAGAAAGAGAAAAGGTAGAAAGGGAAACAAGGGTGATACATAGCTAAAAAGACGAGCTAGGACCGTAGCTTGAAATTGTAGTGTATCTCTCATGAGAGAGAAAAAGTATGCCGAGAGAAACACATGGAAGGTCAAGAGAGAATCCCTTCGACGCCTCTTTCCTTTTTATGATGAACATCGTACGCAGTCATCTTGTGGGATTTACTGTAAAGTAAAGTTTGCATATCCAAGCGAACGTTTATCCAGGTTCTCTCGATTTGAACCGATATTTATGAATCGATAGGGACGGTAGATCGTCCTCTTTATGGATTCAAAAATGATGGTTTAGCTGTTAGAGGAAAAGGGTAGAATCGAGGAGGAAGAGAAGTTGCTGGACCATGTCGACTGGTTCCCAAGCAGCCGAAGTGGACCTATCGACTCGAAACGAGTGTGCTCGACGTTAAAATCCCGGTCGGTGCTCCCGTTTCTCAGCCCTTTAGTTTTCTCTCTCTCTCTCTTTCTCTCTCTCTCTCTCTCTCTTTCCCTCAGTATGTCCTTCTATCTAGCTCGTTTGTTTGTATTGGACGTAAACGATGCAATGGGTGGACACGGTCCAGCAAATCCGAAATCCCCTTTTTCTCGATATAAAACCTTGCCCCTTTTTTCGGCTACCAATCCTCGAGCCGAATACGACTTCACGCCGGTACTCTAACTCTCTATGAGAATAGGAAGCAACGGAAGTGTATCGACTATGGGTATATACATAGGTAACCGAAAAAAGTCGAATCGTAACAAACGCGATCGATTTTCCCCTTCTCACGGCCATTCGAATTCCCCGAAAATAAAAAGCGGAAAAGAGCGACGCCGAATAGTAGGATGGAATTCGATTTCGAGACTCGAAAACGAATTCGACTACTTTGATTCCGCTTAATTCCTTTCAGGCATACTCCGCAAAGTGCTGGAGGTGGTAGATCGATGTTGTAAATTTCATTCGGCATAGAAGCTTTGTTGTCTCTATTCGAATGCCGTCCATTCACCAAAATATATAAACGAAATCGCTTTCCTATTTTCCAATTTAGATCTATTATTTTGCTGTGTTGTGAAAACAAAAGAAAATGAAATTGAACAAAAAAAGATCGAACCAAAAATGGAAAAAATATAGATCTTGTTTTTCTACGGCAATATGAAGTTTATTAAATGTTCTTTTGTGTTGTGCAAAATTTAGTTAGATTGTTGATTACAGGCGATATTGAGGTACGGAGTGATTGGCGATTTCAATGGGGAGTGACATCCTTATTCTGTTTCAGGGTGTGACGGGCGACCGGCTGGCCGGGGGCGCCGCACACCTCCTCCATCTCTTCTTCTTCTTGCCACGTCCACAACACACAATGTAACAACAACTACTACTACTACTAGAGTCGTCCGCGCGAACCACGTTCTCAATATACTCGATGTGGTACGTCACACCATAACCCCTACTCGGTATCTCTCTGAAGATTTGTCATCCTTATTAAATGTGTTGGACTGTGTATCACTTTTACGTTTTCAAGTGTTTCACAATAATTAGTGTTCCTCGATGTTTTAATATCTTGACAAACTTGATGTTATAATAACATTTAAATGCAAGAAGAGATTCTTGCGAGATAATCAATGGTTTAAACGTCAACCGAAGAATGCATATCTCGAGATATTATTCATTTAATTGTTAAATTCAATATTTCATTGTCCCTAGATTCGAAGTAGCATTCTTCGAGTTCGTTGTTGTATTTTATACGTTACTTCATATTTTGCATTTGGTACTTATACATATATGTATGTATGTATATATGTATGTATGTATGGATGTATCTATATACACGTATATGTATACCTACATCGTTGGATATTGTCTTCAGTGTTCGCTGAGCTCCGTTACAATGTGACTTGTGGTTGGTTTAGTTTCATTGGTTTATCAGTGTTCGATGTTGGCTGCAATTGTTGGTTGTTAGGTGTTTAGTGGTCACTTTGTGTTGGTGCTCACCCTACCGACTCGTCCCAGTATCCGCAACTCCAACGTTCCCCAATGAGTCCTCGAACTTGATGTTAGAAGTACAGTATCAAGCTCATTTCGTGTTAAGAGTTACGCTTCTCCTCGTATTTCGGACTGATTGTCGATACGCAATTAAGTTCAGTACGAGAATAATGGAACGTTCTGAGCATTGTCGAAACATGTAAAAGAATAAATTCTTAACAAGATACGCATGATTGAAAATAACTGTTTGAAAACAATTAATTGAAATCAAAGTCGATGTATTTTGAAAGGATTCGTTCGTTCCATCATTACCCTCTGATTTCACGAAATAAGCCATTAGAAAAATAATGAAAATTAACCGGAGGACGATCAAATTGATTAATTATTGATCGTACCCTATAGTAATTGGATTACTTACACATATAAAAAGTAAACGTTTGCTATGAACGATTAATTCTGGCAAAAAATAACATTCGATAGGTTATTTGCGAAAGAAGAGAAACTTTTAGCTTTGGTGTGTACTGGTCGACACGATCAAACCCCGTTTCAGCAAATAATTGCATTAACCGCGCGTAAATGCGGAGCATCGAATATTTCTTTAAATTAGTGATGGTAATTAGGCTGAGAGAGTGAAAAAACGAGTCGACGCAGTGCTTTCCCCTCACTCTCCTTCTTTAATGGAGCAGGAAAGCGGGTAGCAAACAGAAATCGTGGAACGGGTTAATCTGTGGTCGAAACGCTTGAATTCTTGATGAGTAGCAAAAGAGCGGGCGTCAAGCTCAACTGCTCGCGCGAGGATATAGTTTTAAAAGCGATTTAAACGTTTACACAGAGATCGAGAGAAACAAAGACAGCTATGCGGTAAAACGAGTGACAGGGTGAGAAGTGTGTGAGAGTTTGAAGGATATTTCATGCGACGTCACGCACACTTTGTATGCGGGACAAGGTCTGTAAATGAAAGAAAAATTGGTCGTTTCGGTCGTAGCTCGAGCGTCGAATCGTCCGGAATAAACGGGCTAGAAAGATTCTGACAAGCGATGTACACGGAAAGGAATAGGAAGGTGTTGGAGAGAAGGAAAGGGACTCGAACCATTTATTCTCTGGCACGAATCTTTTGCAGTTTTACCTCCCTGTACGAATTTCCTACGCGGAATGGAATCCGCAAAAAGCGACTCGATTCCAGGCTCGTCCGAGGGATATTAAAAAGTAATTGGATTTCGATGTAGGATAGTTGCTACCGATGCATTGGTTCGACTAGGGTAGAAGAAAAAGAGATAGAGGTAGTATCGAATCAGATCGAGAAAACGGTTGGTAGGAGGGTTGCTCACGTTGTACTCGCGAAACGGAATAATGGACAGTCGTTAAATTTAATTGGCACATAATTATCGGTAGAGCGGCTAGCAGGCAGGTAGTTGCGCGCCACCAATCGTCGCAATCCCATTGCCCCAGCTTTAATATCGGAGGAAAGCTCAAATGCAAAGGGACGTAGGTGTACGTGTATGTATATATATATATGTGTATAGAAATTTATATATACGAGTATGTTTCTAGGTAGGTCCACATGTTTCACCATGGTAGAGCCCATGCTCTGTGGTTTGTACCGGTCTAACGAGTCTGGAATCGACCTATGCGGGGGGCTTCGTTCTTCGATTCTCTCTCCACTTTCCTTTTTCTCTCTGTTCTTCTCTTGCCATGACTGTTTCCACCGCCACCTAGTAGAACTACTACTCGTATATTCGAGAGCTTTCGTGCCTATTCCGAATCACAGCTTAGGGCGTAATTGAATCGGTTTCTTTAGCCAGAAACACATAACTTTTACCCACCCGATATTTCATGGATTGCATGCCAAGTGAACTCTTACAGTTACTAAACGAAATATCCTACTCTTTATTATATTATATATCATTATTTTCATTAGAGTTATATGACTTGAATTCGCATTGATTCTGCAAGCTGTCGTCGTAGTAAAAGCATTTCATAAATTATGCGGTATAGTTCGAAACCGAATGTGATAAGGGTATGGGAAAGATGAAAAGATAAGTTAGAAGACGAGTCATTAAAATTAACAGAGAACGTTCGTCTTTGGACATTGTACAAAGACGAAATGTGTCTCGCGAAGAGAGATGTCTTCACGGTGGAAGGGCAGCGTGCTCGACCATGAAATGGGAACAGGATACGTTAGACTAGGTGTAATTAAAAGCCGTAAATATGAGCTTGCTCGAGCAAATTAATTTATGAATCAATTACGCGAGGGTAGAGCCGCGTTTAGATATCGCTACCGGCCAGCACCACGACCGAGAAGCGAGCTTTACGTATCTCTCTTCCTACTACGTACATGTCGCCCGCTTGCGTGCTACGAAATTGAGTGTGTGTGTGTTTTTGTGTGTGTATACGTTGTGAGAAAGATAGAGAACATTTGCGACGAGCTCTGGTGGCGGCAGTTCAGAACGATGTTGGTAGATCCTTTATCGGATCGTTCCAATAAATAAGCTGATCGAGATACCATCTTTCATTTCGATAATTATTATTCGAGGACGGTGTTAATTAATTAAAGACAAGAGTAGACGATATCGCGCGTAACCGAATGGAGAGCTCTAGCTCTCTCTTTAGACGAGAGCAAATGAACGTACGAACGAGCGCGTACACGAACACGCATACGTGAGTCACGATCGTACCAGGTGATAACTCCTCGAGCTCTCTGGCTAATTACCGGATGAAAGAGCTATCTAGCGACTGTCGTCAAAGCACTGCCGCGAGACCCACTAAATACACTTACCACCCTATTGTTATAGTTTAACTTATCATCTATCATCTCATTCTTTTTATTTTTTTTTCATCAATATTGTTACAATTTCATGATTTTTCTTTTCTATACTTATAGTTTTTCTTCTACAAATAATCAAATACCTTATGAAAATAGGATAATTAGCGTGTTCTAGCAATCGATATCGCGTCTCTATTATTGGCGAGCTTTTTTTTTTCTCTTCAAGCTACGATAGTAGGATCAGAAAATTTTGATCTCCAACAAGACTCAAGATGATCACGTATTCGGAGTGATTCGGCCTCGAGCCAGGAGACGAAAAAGTCCTCATAACTTATTAATTTAACGCGTGCCTTTCTCTAGTCAGAATCGTATCTGAGTGAGAGTCTATTGGCAGTGTTCCCAGGCGACAAGAAAAAGGAACGCGATACACCGACTTTTTCTCGCTCGTTTCACCATGAAGTCGTCAAAGCTTTTCTCTATATTCTCTCAGGAAACAAGGTAGCAAACAAATAAATAAAGATAGTATTACCAAGAGATGATGAAGAAGTGCCACTGAATATTTGATAGCTCTGTGAAGTGTTACGCGTTAACCTTGTTCTTACTCTCTTTTGCAAGCTAGCGCTTTTCCACCGTTGAGTACTGTTCTACTACTGCCGTATGTATAAAGTTCGACTACATTGGAATATTAATCATTCTCAACCAGTTAAGAGAGAATGAGATGCAAGAAATAGCGTGGGATTTTTCAGTTACAAAAATATGATTTATAGTAAGGAACAAGAATCACAATGGATTCGAATCTTTTTAGAATATCATAGAGAGTGGTAATCAAAGGAAAAGAATCTAAATTAGATTAGATAGGGTCGTAGAAAAGCTTCCCGAAAATAATTTCATGCAGTTGCAGCGTCTCAAAACGACGTATATTCGAAGCTGCTTGCAGCACCGCATTGAATCCCCCGATGTAAATAGACTCGATAACGGATACATCGTTGCCGCACGACAGAAATTCAATAGTCGATAGATATTCGAGGAATATACTCCGCTAGCACGTGACGCCCAACGGTGAATGTTGGGATACAAGAAAGGGAAGTTTGGAGGACTGAAGAAGCTTCGTAAAGAGAGATAGAAAAGGAAGAGTGGAAAAGGGTCTCTGGATTGACTGAGAGAGAGCGAGCTGGCTGTCGTGCTTGAGCGTGCTGCACGAGCGCCGCTTCTATTCGATTTAGGTTCCCACTTCTCCAACCTTCCACCCTTTCTTCACCGTATATTCCCTCCTAGATTTGATTTACGTGTAAAATATTCACCTTAGTCGAGCTTTCGTTAGAGTTTCCAACTTCCAAAAGATACTCCAATGTGTTCGAAAGAGACTAAGGAATGAGAATAGAAATTGAAAGTCATCGATAATTTTTTGTTTAAATTACCATTCAAATGCTAACTGGAAAAACTGTCATCAACACTCAGTTTAGAATAAGCTTGATAAATGATTTCTAACATTTTATTTTGAGTAACTGTAATGCGTATTTTAGGTAGTTGGTATTCCGAGCTCGCGAACTCTTTGATACACATACACTTACATAGGAATAGGACACAGAAGCTATGTCTATGGTTGGGACTGTGCTGCTGTATCCTCTGACTACAATGACTACGCTCGCACCACTTGGACGCTTCTTCCTTTACCCCTCGG